TGAAGACTACTCCTGCAGCTACTAGCGCCCAGCGCTGAAGACTACTGCTAGCGCTAAGCTACTCCTGCAGCGCTCCTCCAGAGTGCTGCGGCCGGATCCTGAAGACTGCCTTCTGCCTTCTGTCCAACTACCTACCCGTGAAGTGCATGGGAACTCCCTATGCACTACTCGGCCTGCCTCCTGACTGTAGGGCGAGGCAGTCCAGGAGGCTGCTCTTGCCAATGCCAGGGCAAGCCAGGGGCTGGCGCTGCAGCTCCTGCTGAGGCTGGCGTGGGGAACAGGGAGAACAGGCCAAAAATAGCCTGTTCCCAAAACCCTGGTTTGTTGCCCGAGTTCTAGGGCACGACGATCTTATGAGGGCCCGAAAGTGGCCCTCCGTTTCAGGCTGAAAAGACTCAGGGTTGAAAAGCCCTGTTTTAGGCTGAAACGACACGGGGCCTGTAAGCCCTTATTTCTAGGCTTTTAGGCTGAGAATGCGGGACGGGCCCTGCAGGCCCGTGTGGCTACGCAGTATGCCACACCCCCCCCTCCTTGAAAGACCGAGCTTACCTGCGAGGGCGAAGCTGTCTGTCTGAGGGAGGGACCACAGTCCGGGTGGGAGGGGCAGGTCATGAAGTTCCCTGAGCTAACCTTTGTCGCTCGTAGTGAGCGTAGATCAGTGGTGCGGATGCTTTCAAATCTGTTCCTGAAATCCACCGAGTGTCGTCGGGATCGCATGATTTGAATGTAACTTTGTACTGTCGAGGCTTGCTGCCGTACTTGCGATCCGTGATAACGCGGTCAACTTCCTGATGACCATCCATAGATGGAGGGTCCTGCGATCGTCGGCCCGGGAAGTCGTCGCTCTTAGCTGGTGTATATGTTGCCAGCTTCAAGGCGTGAAAGACTGGATGGACCGTCAGATGCGGGGGGATGTTGATCACAAATGAAGGGCCATCGGGCTCATCGCCTGCGGCTGATGTTACGGGCCATGGTCCAAACCACTTGGGAAGCAGTTTGCGTGAAACATCCTGTTCCAGTGCAAACTCTTCCGCGGAGACCCAAACCAGATCACCGGCGCGGATGGGACATGGCACGCAACGCCTGTTGGCTTGTTGCTGCATGCGGACTTCAGCCTTTTGCATATTCGCGCGCGCTTGAGCCAGCCATTCCCTGTACTTCCGGACGGAAGCGAGAGAGCAAGCGGCGTCGATGTCGGCTGGTCGTGGGAGGAGAAGGTCGGCGAAGATACGGCCTTTCCGTCCACCGTGGTGCAACTCGAATGGAGTCATGCCGATCGCCAGGTGCACCGAAGTGTTGTAGGCGAACTCGATGTCGGGGAGGCGGTCAACCCAATCTTTCTGGTCCGGACGGATGAGCGTACGAAGCATCATTTGAGCGGTTTGATGTGCCCGCTCCGTTTGCCCGTCCGTCTGTGGATGTCGAGCCGAACTTGGTTTCATCTTCGTGCCGGAGTCCTACATGAGAGCAGTCCAAAATGCCGACATGAAGCGAGTATCGCGGTCGCTGACTATGTCTTCCGGTACACCGTGGCCGCAAATCCAACCGGTGTGCAAGAGGCGTGCCAGCTCGGGAGCCGTGGAGTAGTACTTGCAAGGGAGAAAACGCGCATACTTACTCAAACGGTCCACAACCGTGAGGATGCCGTCGTGCCCGAGGCGATCGCGGGGAAATGGCCCAGTGACATCCATGGCAATGGAGAGGCCGAGTTCCCCTGGGATAGGCATCGGGCGCAACTCGCCGTAGGGGTTGCGATTGCGGGGCTTGCTTCGTCGGCAAACTTCGCAACAGTCACAATACCGATTGACATCGGTAATGAGGTCGGGCCATCAGAATCGTTGTCGAAGCCCTGCAATAATGCGGTTGACTCCGACATGGCCGGCGAGTCGCGAGTCATGGTACTCCCCGAGAAGGCGAGTCCGAAGACGACGGTCTCGTGGGACACACAATAAGTCCTTGCCTCTCGAGTGGAGGAGCAAGTACCCGTCTGCAATGCGATAGTGGCTGGCCGATGGAGGCGAAGTCCGAATCAAACTCATAGCCTCGGATGAAGTGTCGCTGGAGTTCCTTGTCGAATGCGAAGGCATGATGTGTCATAGCGCAAAGATCGGGTCTTCGCGAGAGTGCATCTGCTGCGCGATTGGAGAGGTCGGGGACATGTTTCAGTGTGAGGTCAAATTGGTCGATGGAGTACATCCGTTGTCCGATCGTGCTGCTCACCGTATCCTGCGACTTGTAGTAGGTCAATGGGTTGTTGTCCGTGACCCATGTGAACCTTCGACGCCCAAGGAGGAAGTGCCGCCGTCGCTTGAAAGCCATCACGAACGCGAGCAGCTCCTTCTTCCTTGCATCATCAAGCGAATTGATGGGAGGCACTTTGTGGCTGAAATATTCCACAGCGTGCCAGTCGTCGCCGTCGTGTTGTTCCAAAACTGCCCCAATGCCATAGCCGGAAGCGTCAGTTGTCACTCTCGTAGACAGGGTGGGGTCGTAGATGCTAAGGACGGGTGCCATGAGCATGGTCGTCTTAAGTGCTTGGAATGACCGGCGTGCGTCGTCATCGAATACGAATGGCACCTTTGGCGATTGTAATATCGTCATAGGTGCGGCAATCCTTGAGTATCTGATGATGAATTGCTGATAGTAGCCCGCCAATCCCATGAATGAACGAACGTCCGTGGTGTTGGTGGGCTCGGGCCATACGCGGATGGCCTCGATCTTGTCCGCAAGCGGACGGATGCCTTCCGGCGTCACATAATGTCCCAAGTACTTCAGCTCCTGCTGTGCGAACTCGCACTTGTCGCGGTTGGCTTTGTACTTGGCTTGTCGTAGCCGCTCCAAAACGGTGCGCAGGTGCTCCACATGCTCGTCCAAACTCCGAATGTACACCAAAATGTCGTCGAGGTAGATAAGTACGAATCGATCCAGCATGTGTCGGAACTCCGTTGTCATAGCCACTTGGAAAGTGGTTGGGGCATTCGTAAGGCCAAACGACATAACGAGCCATTCGAAATGCCCATATCGCGTCTTAAACGCGGTCTTAGAGTGGTCCTCCTGCCGGATCTTGAGTTGGTGATATCCCGATTTGAGGTCTAGCTTGGAGAAGAACTTGGCGCCGCCCAGCCGTTCGAGGAGGTCGTCAATGCGTGGAAGAGGGCCGACGTTCTTGACCGTTTGCTCGTTGAGCTTGCGATAATCGATGCACAACCACAGATCCTTGTTCTTCTTCCGGACGAAGAGAACGGGAGCACCGTATGGCGATGAGCTAGGCTGAATCCAGCCTTTCTCTAGAAGGTCGTCGAGTTGTGCCCGTAGCACACTTAACTCTTCCTCGCTCATTCGGTAGATGCAACCACGCGGAGGTATAGCCCCGTCCGCGAGAATGATCTCGTGGCGGATGGGCCGATCCGGTACTACTCCGTGCGGGCCTTCGAACACGTCGCCGTAGGCGTCGAGAAGCTCGGTGATGCGTGGGTCCGAAGATGAGTCCGTCGATGAAGCGTCATGGGGCGGGAGGGCGTGGAGAAAACACACCCCCATCTCCTCAATGTCGTCTCTGATGATGGAAGCTCGCATGCTTGTGGCGAACACCACGTGGTAGCTGATCGAAGGGTGAGGAGGAGGCACCGTGCATGGGACTAGTACTCCGTTCCGATCACGAACGTGAACGGTGCGGCGGTAGAAGTTCACCGGGTGATCCTCGCTTCGCTGCCATGACATGCCGAAGATCATGTCGAATTTGGTGTCCAAAATATCAAAGGACACCGCCTCGCTTGCAAGCGGGGCAAAGTACACGGGGACATCATCTATGCACCGGTCGATTGACTTGTGCGTGTGACCGTCTGCCAACGTGACTTGCGTAGGCTGGGACTTCCTCCGGATGCGTGGGCCAAGGCCGGAGCGTACAATAATGGCTCATGTAGTTGCGAGATGCTCCGCAATCAATCAAAGCGCTGCAGGTCGCCTCTCCGATCTGAATGCGTACATATAACAATGGTGCATCGATGTCGTCGTACCGTTGTGTCCTGGACTCGCGGTCGATCTTCGCAATGTAATTGTGAAGGTCGACAACCTCTACTCCGACGTCTATCAACGAAGTTGGTACTGCAGTGTGCAAGTAATCCCGCAATTGTGCCATGAGCACGTTGCAATGCGGTTTCGGCAATCGATCGGACCAGGGAAGGGGCATCCATTGGAAGTCCGCAAACGTCAACGGGTCGAGCTCTTCAAGTCTTGACCATGACGTCGAATCCTCGACGATAGATGGCGGCGAAGCTGCCGAATCGGTTGCCGATGGTGATGAAATCGTGCATGCGGTAGATTGTTGCACGTGGAGTGGTTGGTCCAACGGTGGGACCAAGTGGACAGCATAGTCCTCGTAAGCATACCGAGAACTTACGACATTCGCATCCTCCCCAGATGTGTAGGAGGCCGCTAGCAAGGCGGCCGAATCTGACGGAGTGAGAGGTGGAGTCGCCTCACCTCCCGCGGAACTCGGTTTCCCGAGTTGACACGAGGCTGAACATCCTCCTTGCCTTGATCAGGGCATTGGGAGGTCTTGTGCTTGGTGTTGTTGCACCAATAGCAGGCTGGCTGCCATGCTGATTTCTTGTGTGCAGCTGCCCTATTGGTCTTGATGATCTCCCTTGCCTTGTCGATGATTTCAGCAAAGGTTGCGTATTGCTCGCGATTACCAAGTGCAAGGCTCAAGGCGGCACATGACCGGTTGTAGAACTCCCGGCGCAGATGCGAAAATGGCAAGTCAAGATCGGGCGTTGCCGCGATTTTTTGCCATTCCGTGAGCCAGTCACGTGTCGATGTGTTGCCTTGCGTCATAGCGAAAAGGTGGTTGATGGCGAGTGTTGGCGCGTCGTCCACGATGAACAGCTTCTTCCATAGCCGTGTTAACTCTTCCCAAGAGATCTTATCTTTCAGATCTGCGATGTCGACGCCGTGGACGGTTGCGAGGTGGCTCAACCAGATCTGGCATCCGCCCTTTGAGTTGAGGAACAGCGCGCCGATGTACACGTGCTTGGCGACGAACAAAATCCGAAGTTGCGTTGTAAAGCCCTCCCACCAGAGGACCGGGTCTTGATGCATATAATCATCGAACTTCTCGATTTGGAATGTCGGCATCTTGTAGTGTTGTGCGGTGTTGCCATCTTTGTTAGGCAGCTGCAGTTGCTGAACCTCGATCTTCAAGGTGCCCAGCTGGTTGTTGATGGTGGCTGGTGCAGCGAAGGTACTGACGTCGCTGAGCATTGCGACTACGTGGTCAACTCGTTCCTCCAACTGGCGGGTAGAGGGTGCACTGCTGGTCTCGCCAGCGTTCGGTCTTGGTGCAACTTGCTCCAAGTCCTGTACACGGGAATGAAGTGCCCGTGTAGCATCCTCGTGCAGATCCTTGTGGTTCTGCATTGCTCGTCGAAGAATCGCCAGCTCGGACTGCAGGTGGTTACAAGTGTAAGCCAACCTCGCCACGAGTTTGGCCATGAATTCCTTGAGTTGCTCCTCAGGTGTCGCGTCGTCGTGCTCCTCGGCTGGTTCAAAGTGCCAAAACTTGAGCTTTTCGATGTTGGTGGCTTCCTGACGCTGTAGCAGATCCAGGGCTTCCTTGCGGCGTGCCTGGGTATCTGCGTCTGCTTCGGCCTGAAGCCGCTGCTTCTCAGCTGTTGCCGCCGCTTCAGCCTGTAGGCGGACAGCCTCCGCTGCCACCTGGCGCTGTTCCTCAATCTCGATCAGTGCGAGCTGAGTCTGGAACCGCTGTTTGTACTCGGTATTGGACTCGTTGGCCAGTTGGTCTGGCATCCCCAGAGTTGAGCCCGTTATGGTGGCGGGGCACTGCTGACGTGGCGTTGTGGCACTACTGACGTGGCACTGCTGATGTGGCACTGTTGCTGACGTGGCACTGCTGACGTGGCACTGTTGCTGACGTGGCACTGCTGACGTGGCACTGCTGACGTGACACTGTTGACGTGGCACTGTTGCTGACGTGGCGCTGTACCAACCCGAGAATGCATGCAAGAGGGGTGGGTGGGAGGGAAAACGCAGGTAGGTAACGAACCCAAGAATACTTTCCTCCCGACCCTAATCAGCAAATAAAATAAAATAAAAATATATAAAAAAAGGACTACTTCCTTTTATTTTATTTTATTTTTTTGTATATCTGTCGATCTGTTATGGGTGAGGCACGTCAGAAGAGTACTATGAGCGAGATCTAGGCTAGGTTAAGCAAATATTCGGCTTTCACAAAAATGCGATCTTGAAAAAAAAAAATTTGCGAAATAGAGTAGAGATGTGATTTTTATAAAAGAACTAAATCCAGTTTCTGAGAATATGGCAACCTCCTAATATGCCTAACGAAATGCTGGTAGGCTTCGCAAGATTTCGGTTTTCAAAAAAAAATTGCGAGATAGAATGGAGATTCGATTTTCAGAAAAGAATAAATCCGGTTTCCGAGAATATGACCACTTCTATCGTTATCCTAATATGCCTAGAAACCGAAATGTTAACATCAGAAATTTTCAGCTATGTATGCAAATATTGGAGAAACGAAATGCTACTATCAGGAATTTTCAGATAAAACGAAATGAGATTATCAGAAATTTTCAGATATTTGTTGCCTGAAAACGAAATACTAATATCAGAAATTTCAGGTAAAACGAAATGCGATTATGAGAAATTTTCAGATATTTGTTGCGAGAATAATTTTCAGAGATTTGACGAAGTCCTACTTGATTTACTAATGAGTAATCAACAGGTCAAGCAAGCTGGCTACTTGATTGAGCGGGTCCTCTGAATGAGAGGTCTGCTCCGATACCAAACTGTTGCATACTGTCAACCAGAACAAGAACCGACCTCTCTAACAAAGTACAAGACAGCGTAGCGGAAGACTTAGATACCAATGATCCGAACAATCAATATTTCGATGCAGCCCCGAACATACATCATCATCATCACTCCATGGTGTGAAGGAGCCTAGCTCTCACACAGGAAGAATGTGCCAGCCCCAACCATACACAGACGAAGAAGAGGGAGGTTAGACGAAGAAGAGGGGAAGATGGGAATGTCGTCAACACCAAGTCTTCGGCACAGGCCCCAATAGTCCCTCGTCAAAATGTCTGAATCCCAATGTCGAGTCTGGATCCCCAATGTCTCAAGTCTCAAGTCACAACTCTCTCTCTCTCTCTCTCTCTCTCTCTCTCTCTCTCTCTCTCTCTCTCTCTCTCTCTCTCTCTCTCTCTCTCTCTC